AATTCTTCGGTATCGTTAAAAACAGCCTGCATAGAAGTATAAAAGCACCTATAAAACCAAATTTTGAAATTTTCTTTTTTGGATTCCTCACATCCTGGGAGGATAATAGTGCACAAGGATAATTAAAGTGTGGTGGAGATTGATTCAGACAGGGCTGAGGGAGAAGATTCTTTTTTAGGATTTTACGTAGTTGACAGAAGACTTTGTAGCCATTTTCTCTGGCATAAGGAATTGCATACTTAAATCAGAAGGAGAGAGAGGGGAGGAAGAGATTTATATATAAAAAAGTGTTTAAAACACACAGATGCAAAATATTATTTATTTATTTCTTTTAAGGAAAACCTCCAAAAGAAGGCCTTTCTGGTATACCTGACACCGCAATTGAGTATGTGTAGCTCCTAGATATTGTTTAACCAATTTTCCAGTGCCCACTTCCCAAAGCTTTACAGTAGAATCCTTTCCAGAAGAGAGAACAAACCTAGAAAGCCAGCATTTGAGTCATATCACAGAGAACAGGATGCTTGCAAAATAAAAAATTTAGAAAGAATTGAGGGGTGAACCAAATTTACAGTGATGTTCTAGCACATCTAAAGGCAGATATTCCACAAGAACATAAAAGCATAATATTCCTTATCCCTGTTATCCAACATTTATGAAACAACTTAAATACAGAAACATTATTTCACATAAGAAAGCCACCTCTCTATACAGATGTACCTTTCACAATTTTCTACTCATGGATAATTATTTCACATATATCATGTTTCAGAGCTTATATCTATTCTATGATCTATACCTTTGATCCTTAGTAAAGTTTGCACTGGTTGCCTCCGCCGTGCCATGTGCACCAGCTATTGAGCGTACACAATTGGCAGTTACACCATCCCATAAACGAATGGTACCATCTTTAGAAGCTGTAACATACATGCCACCTGTAGCTGAATACCTGACCTGATGCACAAAGATGTGGATTTGATTGCCCTCATCGAATTGTATTTATCTATAAACAATGGAAAATAGAACTTGAAGCATGAATAAATAGATGGGGTCAACCATGCCTGATTTATTGCTCCATTAACATCGATTTCTGGGGCATTTGCAGACAGGTAGCACTGGAAGGTATTGATATCATACAAGTGTGGAATTGGATGATCAGTCCCTGTAATATATATTTTTTAATAGAAACATTATTAGAAGCCAATTCACTGTATGAATGCATGATAATAGTTCAAGCAAAGAAGAAAGAAATAGCCTTAGCAGCACTCCTCACAGATCTAGATAATTTAAGATACCTGTGTTGTGAACAGTGGCCTCGATTGCACTGCACCTTGAAATGAGCTCCGACATTTAACATGTAATGCATGGTATTTCAATGTGTGTGTGTGTGTGTGTGTGTGTGTGTAGATAAAAGCTCATTTGTAACAAGGTTGATCTCATCAAGTTAGTTAATTCATCCTTGTAGCAACTCTAGTCTCTGGTAGCCATCTATTGGCACTAAATACAGGTCAAGCTTAATGTAAAATAATACTTCTGGAGATTACATAAGAGCATTATAAATTTCTCTATCAACTTCAGCATATATCAGCTTTACAACAATTTTTTTATGAGAAAAACAATGCATATGATATATTACTAAGAGATTTAATGAAGCTATGAGTAAGAACCAAGACACATGTACACATTCTTGCCATCGTATCTAGAAAACACCAATTCATAGATTGCATGGAACATCAAATTGGTTAAAGCAAGACTTCATTACACCAAGAAAATAGAAAAAGGAAAAATAGAATAACATTACCAGCTAGAAGAAAATCTCCAGAAGGATGAAAAGATACTGAACGCACATTGTGTGTATCCTGTGTCATTAAAAATAAATAATTTATTATAGAAATGTCGTTCGCTACTATGCTTCAATCTATTATCAGATCACATGTACAACCTGGATGACTCTGAATGCTCTCTTTGCAGTCATCTTGGAAAAATCAAAGAACCTGAAAGTAGTAACACGACTTACATAAGAGTTTGAAGTGAACTCCTCTTTTGTTTTACAACTAATGCTGGTAATGTTCGAGGGTGAGCAGGAAAAAAACAGCAAAGAACTAAAAAGGGCAGAAGAAGAGGGGCATGAAGACATGTTTTGCTGCTGACATTGCAAGGATTTAAAAAAAACTTGTCAATAACTAAACAATGGAATTTCAATATCATTTAAGAAAGTAAAGAATACATACTTTATGGTGTTATCTTTTGACCCCGATATAAGAACAGTGTTCTGAGGATGGAAATCCAAGTCATTTATAGGCTGCAATTGAATCCGAATAACATTAGACATAGGGAGATATCCCGCGACATTGTCCAATTGTCTTTGAATGAGAAAATAAAAACAAATGGGAATAAATGAATAGAATCCAAGTTTCAAAGAACAGGCTTAATCCAAATGGTACACACAGACAAAATTTGACAACTCAAGGGGTAAAAATGTTATATGTAATGTTGGAGCTATAGATTTCATATTATCATACTTGAAGCATTTTCTTTGTTTAACGTTCCTTGACAAAGTCATGGCAAAGTCAGCATAAGAGGCTCATATACAACGCTTTCAATTGAACAATGTTTGTGGTTGAAATAAAAATATTCCATAGGCAAAGCAATACTTAGCCTTCAAAATATTAGGAACAAAGGTTGGCTTACTTGTAAGTGGTCGTAGAATGTGCGAATGACAGGTCTCACAGGACCATCTCTTGCATCTGGAAGCATCATTTGCTTAATTTTTGCAACCTGAAACAGAATATGACTACCTGAGAATTAGATAGGGCCCACATTGAAGAAAAAACCAATTTTATAGCTAAGAGAATCAGCACCTCAAAAAGCTTTATTGATGTGTCAGAACTTCCAGTAGCAACAAACTTCCCATCAGGACTAAACCTTGCACATCTGGCAATATTCTAGAAAGTTTAACCCATCAGACCAAGTAAGATGCCCAGTGGAAAGTGATCTTTATCATGCCAACTTAGTGACTTAATAAAATAAATATAGATGTTATACAATAATTTGTTTTCCCTATTTATGCATACCTTGTGCTCTGAAAGATGGCGTGTCTCATGCTTTGGGAAGCTCTTTGATGAGCCTTTTGTTTCCTGCACTGCACTGTTTGCACAAGAGACGTGCAAACGTCAGTTTATTGACAAAATTTTGCAAATATTATATGTTAAAAAAACAATGAAATGCTCCCTCCATCTCCTTCATTTTCCTTGAAGAAAGGTAATGATGAAAGCATTCAAGACAAAGAAAAGTAAATTTTAAAGGGCTTGGGTGGGCATGCGCCTGCTCTATCTCCTGTTTTGTCTACAACAATAAATTATAGAAAATGCCCATATTTTTTGTGGCATACTCAAAACCATTTACATAGCTATAAGGCAAACAACAAAGGGCAAACAGTAATCAAATGATTCCAAAGACATAATTACCCAAAATCAACAGCAGCAGTGCGAGGAGCTGGGATTGAACCATATCCAGAAGGTATTGATGTACCCAAATCAAATGCAGATGACGGAACCCCTCTCAACATCTCATCTTTCTCCACTGCAAGGCCCTGTTATCACCTTAGAATCAAAACTTTCTTTTCGAGTTTAAACAATGAAAAATAACACTGAAACACAGGGGGAAAATAAGCCTTGAAATGCAAATACAAACCTTGGCAACCAGTTCAAGGAGCTTATTAGGCGGGGCTTCATCATTCAATGATGTCATTGTTGCGGAAGCAACGACACTAGCCGCCTACAAATAAGAAAGATCACCAATCAGCTCAGTCTGCTAAAATTCTTTCTTCTATTCCAATATAAGATCAGAATACTCAAAGTCTCATTATATCATAATCTTCCTCAATTTTTTCATCAATCATAACAGGCATTTAACATTTTCTTCCATAAGATAATTCTCCCTCCCCCACAAACCAAGAAAATAAGAAAGAAAAACTGAAACTTTAGCAGAGCCAAATGCTTATGAAGGCCTCAGATGAGTCAAGTTTACAAATTCGAATTTCACAGCTACTAATTTTCTACATTTTCCGGGAACTAAGCAATCTGCGAGTTAAAAGAAGTTCACTTTCCAGATTGAGACTGTAGCATCTTCCCAATATGATCATGGAAAACGAATGAGACATACTTAAGTCAGCTTAATTACTCACTACTGTCCACAAAACAAACCAAAACTGAACCATTATGTTGAAAATTCAATATCTTAAGTTTTCCTACACTCACTCAGCAACCAAAAGCACACACGCACATATATATATACATATGTAATGAAGAAGAAGAACTTGTTTGCCTGATAGAGATTGTTGTCGCGAAGATGAGCGACGATGAGCGAATTGACTTGTCTGTGGAGCTTGGCATCTTGCAGAACCTGCTCCAAGCTGCTGTTCTCCATTGCTGGCTAAAACCCTTTCGCCCCAAACCCAAAGTTTATGCCTTTATGTTTCGTCGTTCGGGAAAAAACGACGTGTCGTGAAGCTATGAATATGTGCAAACCAAATAATTGTAGGCCTATACCTAAAAAAGAATCAAACTTGTGTATCACAATATAAGACAATCACACAAAATTGAATAAAAGAAAGGGATGGCCCTAATGTGGACTCTGCAAGAACATGATGAATAATAATTGCCAAAAAGAATAAAATACCAATTTATGTTATAATCTGGTGGTTAGAGCAAAAGATTTGGACAAATTGCAAAGACCCAAATGCACTACATCTCTTTCCCAGTGCACAAGTTGTTGAATGTGCTCTCCACCGACACTGAAGGATGCCTTATGGCCCACAGCCTCTGCTGTCTGCCTTAGAAGTCCTCTTATTATATGGTTTTAATTTGGTTTTCAGTAATATATATGCTATGTTTTTTGTCTGTTCCAAAAATGTCCCTCATTATGAAAGTTCTACACTTTTCAATAAAACCTGATCAAACCCATTCTCATATGGGAAGATTTGTAACATTTCATGACAAATATCTTTCGAGTTAGCTGAAAACTGCGAAGGGTACAAATGGAATTAAGGTGTGCATGTTGTGACACACGGACTAAACTTGAGTGACATTAACTGTATCGATTTCTTCCTCAAAGCAGTGATTAGAGTGAGCTTTAAAAAGTCACTTGCCATGTGAAAAGAAAGCCAGCCACGCCCAGTTGGCCAGCTGCACACCTCTCTCTTTCTCTCTCTCTCTGGGGCTTTGTCTCTCTCTGTTTTCTGGGCAGATCTTGAGCTAAATCAGAACATAAACATCACTATTAACACTAAATCTGCATCAACAAATGGAGCCTCGGTGCTTATCAGCCACTGGATCCATAGTCAAGCTCAGCAGCTTTGCCATTTTGCTTTTCTTTTTGCTTTCATGCTTCAGTTTTACTTCTACAGGTCAGTGCCCATGTCTGCTTTTTGGCCCATGGTTCCAAATTTAGTTTCTTGAAAGTGTTTTTCTTGTTTTCTATTTCTAGGTTTTAGTTATTTACCTGTTACTTGTTTTGGTATTCGAAGAATTTAACTTTCAAAGATATGATTGGCTGGTAGGTAATTCTTTTATGAAATTTGAGTTTTTAGCCTTTTATTTTTCTAAATGTGGAGAGGTGAAGCATTGAGTGATTGATATTTCCTATTAAATTCGATCTCTTCTAGTCCTTTATTATTGCTTTCACCGGAGGGAATGGAATCTAGCTGAATTTCAGATATTAGCTAGAGATAAAAGATTCTAACAATTAAGCTACAGAAGTTACAGAGTGTACTAATATCGACAAGCTGGAAATTTGTGTTGATATGTAGTGAAGCAGCAGAATAAATGCCTTGATATGTTTTTTTTTCATAATTCATATCATAGAAAGAAAATTGAAAAGAACTAAAGTTTTGACAAGTAAATCGTGTACTTATAATAAAGTCAACCCTTTTGGAAATTTTGAGGATTGATGTAGTGAGCTGTGTTTTGCTCGATGTTTCTGCAGAAGCCTATGATGCCCTTGATCCAACTGGGAATATCACAATTAAATGGGATGTCATTAGTTGGACTCCAGATGGCTATGTTGTAAGTATTAATGAGCAGATCATTCCTTTTCTGTGATAATGCTGCCTTTATTTGATGCTTTCTAAGCATGGGCGATTGAATTGACTCAGCTTAAAGCTTTATCTCGGTTTTATATATCAAGTTTAAACTAAATTTTCGTGTTTTCAAAAGATGCAAAGTTAATTCGTTCATATTCTCACTGGATTTTTAATGTTTTCTTGAAACTCAATCAAGAAAAGAGGAACCAGGTTTGGAATTAGAATTATATTCCATTTGTGTTATGTTGTTAATATCAATAGTAACTATATTAGTAGTGCTAGAGATCATGGAGAACCTCATTTAGTACTCCCTGACCTGACTGATCATTTCCATCACCTTGTAGTTCTTTTTCGCGAGATATAATCTTTTACTTGTGTTTTTCCTTGAATTTCTGATACAAACTGTATTATTTGAAATGGCAGGCTGTTGTTACAATGTTTAACTTCCAGCAGTATCGACATATACAAACACCAGGCTGGACATTAGGATGGACATGGGCGAAAAAGGAAGTAATTTGGAGCATGGTGGGAGCACAAACGACCGAGCAAGGGGATTGTTCAAGATACAAAGGGACCGTCCCACATTGCTGTAAGAAGGATCCAACAGTTGTGGATTTGTTGCCAGGAACTCCTTACAACCAGCAGATTGCAAATTGCTGCAAAGGGGGAGTAATGAACTCATGGATCCAGGACCCAGCCAATGCTATAAGTTCGTTCCAGGTCAGTGTGGGTGCTGCAGGAACAACTAACAAAACTGTCAGACTGCCGAAAAACTTCACCTTGAAAGCACCTGGGCCTGGATATTCTTGTGGGATAGCAAAGATTGTAAAACCAACCAGATTTCTAACAGCGGATAAAAGGAGATGGACCCAAGCCATGAGTAAGTACACAAAACTACCCTCTCCCCCTGGTACCACTAAGAAGAATAGAGAAGAAAAGAGCTTTGACTGAGTTAATTGCTAAGGCATTTACAGTAACCCAGAGTTACTATAGTGTTACTCTGGACTGAGAACATAAGCCATCGGTTTATGACATAGATGGGGTCAAGGACGGAACTACACTATGGCTAGATTGGGCTCTAGCCTAGTGCAAAGTTTGGGAAAAAAGAAATTTAATACTAATTTTTAGGCACTACACCTCATTTTACAAAAATTAGCCCAATCCATCTAAGCAAAAATTAGCATGTCCTATCCAAACAGATCTCCAGTTAGCTTCAAGTTTTCTCCTATGAGAAAATAAATGGAATTTTATTTAGATCTTTACCCACATAAGAAATAATAGCCCACCCCTATAAAAATTTATGGTTCCGTCCTTGGATGTGGTGTCTGTTAACATATCAATAGGAATAGTTTCTGCTTAGGATTGAAAAATTGTGTAGTTTCAAGCTGCCCTTCAAATGTTCCAAGGGTTGAAAGATGCAATTGGAACGATAAGTACAGTCTTATACTTTAAAATATGAGAAAATAAAATTTCATGCTTTATTTAACTTCAACATCCTCTTCTGGCAGTGACCTGGAACGTTACTTGCACATACTCGCAATTCCTGGCTCAAAAGACACCCACTTGTTGTGTTTCTCTCTCCTCCTTCTATAATGAGACCATAGTAAGCTGCCCCACTTGTGCCTGTGGCTGCCAGAACAACGCTACAGACCCTGGGAGCTGTGTAGAGTGAGTGTTCTAATTCATATATTTGTTGCATTTCTCAATCTTCTTTTTCTGAGGCAGAGTTTGCAGTGATGCTAAATCATAAATATTTTCTCTTTTGCTGATACTGCTTTGCAGGCCGAACAATCCATATTTAGCTTCAGCTGTATCAGGTCCTGGAAAATCTACTAATGCTCCTCTGGTCCAGTGTACTAGCCATATGTGTCCAGTCCGAGTCCATTGGCATGTGAAGCTCAATTACAAGGAGTACTGGAGAGTGAAAGTCACAATTACAAATTTCAATTACAGAATGAACTACACGCTGTGGAATCTTGTTGTGCAACATCCCAACTTTGATAATTTGACCAAGATTTTCAGCTTCAATTACAAATCCCTAACTCCTTATGCTGGCTTAAGTAAGTTTTTTGTTGCCCTTCATCAATTTGTGTGAAGTAGATTTTTAATAACTTTCAAATCAATATATTATCAATGCAGTTCTTTGGGCTTTCATTGACATAAGTTTGGCAATACAAATTTTGGTTGTGCAGATGACACTGCCATGTTGTGGGGAGTAAAGTTTTATAACGATTTGCTCACACAAGCTGGCCCTCTTGGAAATGTGCAGTCAGAGCTCCTATTTCGAAAGGATACATCGACTTTCACTTTTGAAAAGGGATGGGCCTTTCCTCGAAGGATTTATTTTAATGGTGACAATTGTGTCATGCCACCTCCAGATGCCTATCCGTGGTTGCCAAATTCCAGTCCCAAACAAGTCATTTCCATACTTCATCCCGCCATCACCATCTTCGTATCTCTGCTATTCTTATTGGCGTATGCATAGTGAGTGTGCCTAGGCCAGACAACAATAGCTATCTGTTTTTTAATTACATTGTAGAATTTTCGATCAAGTTCAAGTTGCACTAAAGCATATGGAAATCCAGTTGATGGGGTCAAATGTGTTACTGCTGTGACTTCTAGCTATACAAGTGGTTCAGGTGCACTCCGGCCTGACCGTCACTACAAAATTCTGTTTCAATATCTGTTACACGTATTCACACTTTATTCTTTTACTGCTGTTTTTGTTTAAATTTAGCCGTTGTACGATTATTTAGAATGATCCAGTGAATATGTTCTTAGCATTATATGATATTTCAGAAGAAATCAAAGTTGATGTATGATTTTGTTCAAAGAGTTGTATAACAGTGTTTATATTATTTTCGATTTCCTGTTGAGTTCACAATACACATCCAGTCACATGCTGCCGAAAGAAAACAATATTAAACAATTTTCAAAAGTGAAATTGCAAGAGAAAACATTTAGTAAAGGAGCAAAGCAATTTCGTTTGCTATTGTGCACCATGAACTGAGCTTAAAAATCGTAGGACATTATAGCAAGGATTTCAGGTACAGTTTCACAAGCTCACTATCTATACTAAATTATCACACACAGGACCACTTCTATTACTCCAACGTTTCAAAATTATCAGGAAAGTGAAAAACATATAGAAAACAATATCAGAAGTAAAGAAGCTGCCATTTTGAAGATTGAAGTAGAATTTACATGGGCAGAGTTTGGTAGAGCTGGGTATGCATCAGGTGGGGGCAGCATACATTCATCACCATTGAAATAAACTCTTCGAGGAAAAGCCCATCCTTGCTTGAATGTAAAGGTGTTCTGGTCCTTCTGCAGAAGCACCTCAGACTGAACATTTCCTGATGGCCCAGCTTCCATTAATAAGTCATTGTAAAACTTCATGCCATAGAACATGCCAGTGTCATCTGCATATATGGTCAATCAAGCTCATCTGTTACTAGGAAACTCAAAATTCCAAAAGAAATGTTTTTTTTTTTTTTTTTTTTAAATTTATTTAAAGGAAGCTTTAGAAGCAAAAGACTTACTAATGGACTCATAGGGGAGAAGGGGTTTGTAATCAAAGCTAAAGACTTGAGTGACATTGTTGAGATTAGGATGCTGCGCAACGAGCGTCCACTCCGTGTAGTTCATCCGATAATTGAAATTTGTGATGGAAATCTTGACGCGCCAATATGCCTTATAGTTAAGCTTCACATGCCAGTGAACTCGGATAGGGCACATATGATGTGTGCACTGAAGCAACGGTGTATTGTCCTTTTTGGGTGTGTTTATTCCTGTCTTGTGTGCTAACTTTGAATCACTCCTGTTTGCATTGCAAAACAATTGCATCCAGTAAGTCAAGTGTGTACGGATATGCATATGTGGATAGGTTATGGAGGCTTACTTGATACAGTTTTTCTTATTGTGACAACCACAAGCACAAGATGGGCAAGGAACGATGGTTTCATTGTAGAAAGATGAAAACGAAACACAACAGCTTGGATTCTTGGAGGCAAGGAACTGTGAATAGGTGCATGTCACATTCCATGTCACTGCATCAGAAGGAACACGCCATGCGACTCAGTTTCAAGAGTTTTCTTTAACATCAGATTTCAACCATCTAAAAATTTAAAAGAAAAAAAAAAGATAGAAGAAGAGTAGGAAGATCTTGGAAACGGGAGAATCAAAATATCTTACTAAGGGCTTGAGTCTTTCGCCTGCGATCAGTCGTGAGGAAGACTGTGGATGGCACGACCTTTGCAGGGCCACAAGTGTACCCTGGTCCTGGACCAAGCAAGGTGAAATTTTTGGGGAGTTTCACTGTTTTATTTGAGGTACCAGCTTGCCCGACACTCACCTGGAAGGCAGAGACTGAAGCTGTAGGATCCTGTCCCCAAGATGCCAGGACACCGCCCTTGCAGCAATTGGTGAACTGTTGGTTGTAAGGAACTCCAGGAAGCAAGTCAACAACTGTTGGGGTTTTCTTACAACAATGTGGGATGGCTGCTTTGAATTTGGAACAGTCTCCTTGCTCTGTGGTTTGAGCTCCCACCATGGTCCAGATTACTTCCTTTTTTTGCCATGACCACCCTAGAGTCCAGCCGGGGCTAATGATTTGCCGGTACATTTGAAAGTTGTTCATAGTCACTGCAGCCTAGCATAATTCAATGAAGGGATTGCCCATTATGATCTTTTTTTTTAAAAAAAAAAAATTGATTTGAAATTAAATCAACATACACAAAATGTCATTCAAATGATATCTTACAACATAGCCATCTGGTGTCCAGGACATAACATCCCATTTGATCGTTATATTTCCAGTTGGATCCAATGGATCATATGCAGCTAAAAGTCATAAAACATGAAGCTATTGTTAGCGGACGAGCAAATGTAACCAGAAAAGGATCAAAGACAATGTATTTTCAAGATGGATTTGTTGTCAGAAATTTACCTGCCGGAGATAATACCATGCAACATAGCACAGCCAAGAATGAGAACTTGAGCCAAGACCAAGAGCAACATGTTTCCACCTCAAGGTGGACTTTGTGAGTTGGGTTGGCCTGGTTTTTGAATTCCATTACCTCAGTTCACCGGATCACAAGCTCTCCGGCGTTGGCGAGGACTTAAGAGTGGACAAGACGTACTCCGGCAAACCAGGGTGTTAAAAAGGAAAAGATAGAGGACACCAGAATGAAAGTGAAAGCCTCACCTACTGGTTGTTAGGCACTTCCATGTCCATTTGATATTTCATCTTATTTGATAGTTTTACACGTATACCTTATTTAAATTCATTTATTTAAAGATACATGGCTGTTTGTTTGCTGTGTTTCTGCATCTTGAAGCAAGTTTTGGTGATGAATGATGTAAAAGCTGGCGGAAGAATTTTGAGAGGCTCTGAAGACTGAGACAACAACAGCCCAACGCTCAGTCCCTTCACACACTGTTCCTTTTTTGGGCATACCTTATGTCATGCTATACATTGCTTCCCAAGAAACATGTTATAATTGGTTTGCTTCAATTTCAAGTTTTCCGGTTTCTTTTTGGTCCCTCATTCAATTCAATCATTACCAAAGTTATTGCTCAACTCTCAAAATTAATTTATGAAAAAGGGCCAATTCGCAATTTGCCAATGCTTCCGAATAAGACCTTAAACCTTGGGGCTTCCTTAAGATAGAAAAAAACTTTACACGTGTTTGAAAACTGATAGCACAAAGCGCGCCTTTCTTCTTCTTCTTCTTCTCTCTCGATTGTCATGAACTCTCCACCAGCAAAGCGACTTGACTCTGTTTCTGTTTCTGCACGAAGAAACATGAAAATCAAAAGAGCCCAACGCATTTGTACATATCACCCACCAAAGGTATTGAAATCTGGCGTTCTTTTTTTGGTTTGATCGAATTAGTTCATCTTTATTATGTAGCAAAGCCTTTGTCTTTTTTATTTTTATAATACAGAATTCAAGAAGTTGTAGAATTTAGAATGTTCGAAATATGATCAGATTCTGTGTTGGTTTTTTATCAAAATGCCTTGTGGGTGTGTCTTAGATTAGTTTTAGCTCGAAAACTAATGGAACCCATGAAAAGCTTTACTCTTTTTTTTTCTGCCTTTAATTTCTTTTGAGCTGTTGCGCTTCACCAGTAGAGTTAGAAGAGTAGCAATACCAGGGGATGATTAGAAATATGTGAAGAAGAAAGGCATATAGTTTGGTCTTTTGTTTTTTGGCCTTCTCTACCTTATCAGGCAAGGAATTGGTTTCTTTTATACACAGGTTCAAGCAATTTATATATAACACTTACGTACTCACATCAACTTCATTAACCCACCACAAGAACCTTATAATAAGTGTTTTGATGTTCATATGGCATTGCTCCTGTTTCAATCTTCTGTTAAAATGATCATCAGGGAAAAGCCAGAAACATCAGAAGCCAAAAGAGAGCCAATTTTGGTACTGTAATTAGATTTGCATGGGCAGCATTTGGTAGACCTGGGAATTCATCAGGTTGGGGCATCATGCATTCATCCCCATTGAAATAGACCTTACGAGGGAAACCCCAACCCTCCTTGAATGTGAATGTGTTTGCATTCTTCTCAAGAATCAACTCTGATTGTACATTTCCCTCTGGCCCAGCTTCTTTTAGGAGGTCATTGTAGAATTTTGTGCCGTAAAACAAACCAGTGTCATCTGCACAACCAAATGGTACAAGTCTTAGCTCCAAAAGTGCTTGCTTTTCTTTTGAAATATATTTAGTTGTTACTTGCAAGACTCCCTAAGTCCTGTATGGAAAAGTCTGGACTTACTCTTGGATTGATATGGGGTCAGGGGCTTGTAGACAAAGCTAAAAACTTCCGTAATGTGGTTGAGATTTGGATGTTCAACCACAAGCGTCCACTGCGTGTAATTCAACCGGTAGTTGAAATTAGTTATGGTAATCTTCACACGCCAATACTGCTTGTAGTTTGTTTTCACATGCCAATGTACCCGAATTGGGCACATATGTTGTGTGCACTGAAGCAGCGGGGTGTTATCCTTTGTTGGTGTGTGTATTCCCACAACACTCGACAACTTTGAATCACTCCTGCATTATTATGTTTCGGTCTGAATGTCAGTTACTGAGATGCATGCCTCAATCTAGATTCTAGAATGTATATGACTTCTGGTACCGTAGTGTTTATGACATTTAGTTGAGTTAGAAAGCAGAACTCATGAGTGATAAATGCTTACACAATGCATTTATTTTTGTCTCGGCAACCACAGGCACAAGTTGGACAAGGAGTGATTGTAGAGTTGTAAAATGATGACATAGAGACACAACAGGTCGGGTAGCGAGACGCCAGCAACTGTGAGTAAGTACATATCACATTCCAAGTCACTGCAAACAAGATTATACAGTTAGAATTGTAGCAAAATCAGTCTTATTCAATATTTTTTCTTTAGTTAAAGATACTTACTCAGCGCTTGAGTTTTTCGACGACCATCAGGTGAGTTGAAAACTGTAGATCGCACAATCTTTGCTTGGCTGCAAGTGTAGCCTGGTCCTGGACCAAGCAAAGTGAAATTCTTTGGTAGTCTGACGGTTTTGTTGGAAGTTCCAGAGCGCCCAACACTCAGCTGGAAGGAAGAGACAGCAGCTGAAGGGTCTTGACCCCATGATGCCACAGCACCAGCTTTGCAGCAATTGGCAATCTGTTGGTTGTAGGGGACACCAGGGAGCAAGTCAACAACTGTAGGATTTTTCTTACAACAATGTGGTATGTTTCCTTTAAACTTGGTACAGTCTCCTTGGTCAACGGCTTGTGCTCCAACCATGGACCAGATCACCTCTTTCTTTGCCCATACCCATCCTAAGGTCCAGCCAGGGCTCATGATGTGCCGGTACATTTGAAAGTTGTTCATCGTCACAACTGCCTGAAATTTTGTAATTGTACAGCATACATCTTTAAAGAACATTTGTTGACAATCAACATTAATCAATATGCAATTTTTCTTCTTCTGCCCCTTCACTTTCCTTGAAGTCAGTAAGCATGAATTCAAATTTCTCTGCTAGAGGCACTCATATTATTATTAAATGCATGTCAAATGAATTATCAAGCTGATGTGAGATTCTTGCAAAAGTTATTGCTCCATCAAAGATTCAGATGGTCATTATCTGATAAAGTAGGAAAACCAAGGTGATTGCTTCTTCCAATATAGCAAATGTTATGAACCAAACTACTTACCACATAACCATCGGAAGTCCAGGATATGACATCCCATTTCAATGTAATGTTCCCATTCGGATCCAATGGGTCGTAAGCAGCTAAAATTATGATACAATGAAACTTATAAGTGACATGGACATGGTATAATAGAATCAAAATTCAGCACAGAGCTTTCATTACTAGAAGGAATTGACCTGCATGAGGAATTGTAAGTATAAAAGAAACAGCCAAGAGAACGAGGCACGTATACTTGTCGAAAATCATGTTTCTTCTGACAGACGACAGTTGGATGCAGAACTCTAATATGAAGACAGAGAAATTGAACAAAATATGTGTTGTGAAGAGGCTTAAAACAAGTTCACCTACTGGTTTTGTTAGGTATTTTATATATGATATACATCTTGATGTCAATTTCTTGACACAGTTATATTCAGTTAATTAGAACAAGCTGCGAGCTTGAGAATGCTTGAAGACAACAGCCTAACTGTCCGGAGCCACAAACCAAGTCCTCTAATTAAACAAATGATCAAACCAAACAAGCTAGTGATTCTCAGACTAAAATGAACCCGGTCAACTCCCTTGTGAAAATGACCCATTGTTTTTTTTCCAACTCGGACAGAGATTTTCCAACTTCTACAGCTTGTTTGTATTCAATACGCAATTTAATTTAACCTATAATACAATATGATTTGGTAGCTTGTCCAAGTTTGTAGGTAAAACTAATCTTTCTCCAGTGGTTGAAACTTTCAAAAACAAATTGTTATCTTTGTTGGGTTTTCTGATAAATCCCTTATATGTTAGAATCAAAATTTTCTTCATATTTATTTATTTAAATTGTCGCTATTTCTGTGCCATGAGATCAAATTGAAGTGGTAAACACAGAGAATTAGAAGACTCACTTACCAAAGAAAAAGGATAATAAGATGGTGGGGTTGTGGTACAATGGAATACTAGTTGAAGAAAATGAGTGAGCTCCCATCAATCTCATTGCTTCCGAATTATTGAAGTGCCATCTAGTTTATTTCAGCTTCTATGTGTTTTAATAAATTGCCGGTGGTTTTGGGGAAGCAAACCAAACGTCTACATGAAAACAGAAAGAAAAAACACCACCACAGTAGTCTTTTCAGCCAATATGCGACAGTTGGGCTCTTTAGTGACGGTTTTTGTCCTTTTGCTCCGGTATGTTTAGTTTTCTTGACGATTTAAATGCTCCGTTCGTCTTGGAAAGTCTTTAGCAACGTAAAAAACCGTCGCTAGGCGCAGCTAGAAAATCCTACTTCGACGAATATAAAAACCGCCGGTAAAAGTCGGAAGATAATTTAAATTCTCTCTCCCATAGAAAATCAGTGATTTTGAGAGGCACAAAAGAAATAAAAACCTCGTTTTCCATATCTTTAAATGTACATAAACATATTACTAGAAAACATTACTAAAGTCTTATTCAAATTATTTCTTGGATACATGAAAATGCCTTAATCTATTCAACAACCAGCTGCCTAGATGGGATTGGGAAGAAGTGTAGTGCAAGTTTCTCACGCCACCCCTGTAAAGATCTCCTTTTACTCTACTGACATGCTAGCAACTTTGTGCGTGTCATCATTGCTCAATCCTTCTTTGAGATGGTCTCCAAGAGCTGAAGCTAAATCAGACCTGCATATGGACTTTTACTTCCCATACTCTGTCACATTGTCAAGCCTTCATAATAACCTGCATGGTTCAAAACACATCATAATTTTGAATTAAAACTACCAGAAATAAGAACCCAAGATCATTAAGTTAAGAGAAACTGAATGACGACAACTAAATCCTTTAGAGGCCAAAAGACTAGCTGCCTATCATTCACCAATGATCAAAAGACGGCACGCCTGAATTTTCCTTTCTGGGACAAAATTAAACAATAACTAGTGTGGTGGGGGATGCATATTAAGAAGTTGCAAGCCTATTTGAATGGCTATTATGAGTTGCAATCCTACTTTACCAGTGTTACAAGGCAAATGATGTAAACGACTAAAGAAAAGGATGAGACATACAAACTATCACTATTCAGCATACCATTAGACCAGAAAATCGTAAATCCCTTGCAAGTGTGGACCAGTATCTGCCAAATGAAAGAAAAAATGGAACATGATGGTCATATTTCAAATGTGTGTGTTCATATGCATGCATGGATGTGGGTGTGCAGGCAATAGCCTCCTGTATTTTACAGAGAACTATTGGACTCATGGTGAAACTGGATTGCACGTAATACAACCTCAAACTAAGTTAGTTTTTCTTTTCTTATACGAAACAGAGATTTTATTAATGAAAAAGTGTTGGAACGAGATGTTCATCTAAATCCTTTTAGCATCCTCAATCTCAAACGCAAATTACAATCAAACCAAACTAACTATTTGAATGAAATACACCAGTCTACCTAAAGAGGCCAACTGTGGCCAAGACTCTTAATTGCCTAATCTCCATTATAATGAAAAATGGGGAGAAGAGGGAAGAAGGAGGAGGGAACACCATATATTTGGATACCATGCTTCATAGGTAAGCCATGGAAACACTTCTAAAATGCCATTGTAGAATCTCTATGAAGTTAAATGCCATCCATATGATTGCATACCACAGAATTGAGCATTACCAATGAGCCATGATTGCTACATCTACAATATATTTACTCTACCTGACTTGAACAAAGAATAAATTCGCTCTGAATGTGTGGCAAAAATTTTATACACATTGGCATATACAATTATACATTCACCAAATATCAAAAACCCCGATTTACACTATTCTTTCCCAACAATATATTTTCATTAACAACCAGAATATTTTTCTTTGATTTCTAATGCTGGGTGAATTAGTTTCTTAATAACTGAAAAATTGAAAACATAAAAATTGGGTTTTCACCTGCTTCAAATTCCAATCATGTATAGTTAAACCTACCTTCCAAAGCTAGAATATTAAAGTTTTATTCTTTCATTTTCAGATTAACTCTTTGATTCTTTCTTTTTCTTTTTACATTGTCAAATTTTCGTTATTCATAGGTCATGGATTAGATCCCTATAATCGAAATAATTGAAGTGGGAAAGTAGAGAATTGTAAGGCTTACCAAAGAAAGACGAAAAATGCTTTGATTTTTGATAAAATCGGAAAACACAACTGAGAAAGCCAAGCCCTTTTCCCCCAAGTTCGCCGTCGATGACGACCCTCGATCAAATGAAGAGCTGAAACGAAATTGGAAAAGTCAATAGTACCCTCAACCAAAATTGAGCTATGTTGGTAAACTGGTCTGGGCTGGGATGGGTCGGGATACGAGGCTCATGACTAATATGGGCCTTTATGGTTGGGTGTATTTTGTCTTCTCAAACGGCATATAAATAGGTCCAATATGTTGGTTCACATGGACATTGATTTTTCAATTGACCCCACAAAACAAACCCAAGTCCACTAATTGAACAAATTAAATTACCAAACCAAATAAGCCAGTGATTCTCAGACTAGAACGAACCCGGTCAACTCCCTTGTGAAACTGACCCATTGGTTTTGTTTTTTTTTTTTTTTTTTGGTCTGAACCATGAGGTGGTCCTGGATGGGCCCCAACTATGGGTGGCACCTTTAAGCCTTAACCACAACCCAGACTAATCCCCACTCACACCGGGTCGGCCCGTAAGGGGTAAAGTGTTGGCCAAAATGGTGATTCCGTACGAGAGCAGGGATCGAACCCCTGACCTCTCTTAAGTAATGAGAGTGCCAAACCACTCACACCAACCACCTTGGTTACCCATTGGTTTTTTTAAGGCTTATTTAGCTACATGCCCCATGTGCTTTGCAATTTGTCTCAGATTACAACTTGGGTTTTAAAACGTCTCAAAGTACCCCCCAACCTTTGAAAAATGGTCTCACATTACCCTTTCCGTCAGGATTATTGACGTTCCGTTACAAGCTTTGGGCCCCACTTCGTTTTAATCTTCAACCTCTGCAAATAAGGGTTTTTTCACTTTCAGATGAGAGGAAAGAAGAGAGAACAACTGAACCTCCAAAATCCCAGCTCATATTTTGCAAAAGCCTAGTATTCACAGAGAGAAAAACTGAACCTCCAAAATCATGCGACCCAGTTCCCCCTTTTCTCCCAAATCGTGCGACCCCCTTCCCCCTTTCCCAAATCCAAACTCCACTCAAAGATTCATAAACCCTAATCTTCTACTCCAAAATCTCCCAATTTCGAACTCCACCTCAGAGTTTTATCAACCCGTGATTTCTTCTCCAAATTCTCCCAAATTTCGAACCCCACCACAGATTTTGATAAGCCCTAGCCTCCTTCTCACCCAAATCCCCTATTTCCTCTCTTCATCTGAAAGTGAAAAAACCCTTATTCGCAGAGGTTAAAGATTAAAACGAAGTGGGGCCCAAAGTTTGTAACGGAACGTCAATAATCCTGACGGAAAGGGTAACGTGAGACCATTTTTAAAGGTTGGGGGGTACTTTGAGACGTTTTAAAACCCGGGTGGTAATCTAAGATAAGTTGTAAAGCAAAGGGGGCATGTAGCTAAATAAGCCTTTTTTTAATATCACTCAGACAGGGATTTTTCAACTTCTACAGATTGTTTGTATTAGGATGCAATTTAATTTAACCTGTAATACAATATGATTAAGGTTGCTTGTCCAAATTTGTTGGGAAAACAAATATTTCTTCAGTGGTTGAAACTTTAAAAAACAAATTGTCATCTTTGTTGTGTTTTCTAATGACTTTGTATCCCCTGTACTACCTTTCTCATTTATGTGATCTTGTTTGGATCTCCATCTTCCTCTGCTACTAATGGCAGTTCTGTCTCCTTATACATATGTTCAAATATAATTTTTACACATTACCCTATGTTAACAAAGTTCAGCTCATTCTTTGTTCCCAAAGAAAAAAAAAAAGAGTCGAGTACTTGAACTCATTCTGAGTCCTAGCTAACAATTTTGCAATTTCCATGAAATTTTGGAATAGGAGGTACAGATTGTAAACATGGGAGAGGGAACTGAAGTTCAAGTTTTCTGAACTTGATCACAACATAACTATACAGACATACAGTGACAGAGTTCGCACATCCCCATTCTTTTTAATCTTTGATCCTTGCATACGTTGTATTGATGATGTCTTTGTATTGGTGAAGATGGAACAGCTTCAGAACCATTGGTAAGAACCTCTTTCGGATATCTGAGTTATAGGCCGTTAGTGGCACGAGCACAAAAAGACTAGTAGCGCAGAAAGCAAAAGGGTTGTAGCCAGTGTAGATGAGGAAATAGGATTTGCATAAGCGGAGTTGGGCAGGGTTGGATATATATCAGGAAGGGGCATCTTGCACTCATCGCCATTAAAGTAAAGTTTGAAGGGAAATGCCCAACCTTGCTCCAATGTGAATGCTTTCATGTCCTTTCCAAGAAGCAACTCTGTCTGGACACTTCCCTCAGGCCCAGCTTCCATTAATAGGTCACTATGATTTTTTATGCCGTAAAACATTCCGGTGTCGTCTGCATATTCAAACAGATCCACACAGTATGTTAGATCTTGACATGTACATCACATATTTATATTGTGTGATATGAATGAAGCATCTTTCTTTATGGTTCCATTGTAGACTGAGACTTACTTATTGAGCCGTAGTGAATGAGTGGCTTATAGACAAAGCTAGAGACATTAGCTAGTTTATTGAAGTTTGGATGCTGAGCAACAAGAGTCCATTGTGTATAATTCATCAGGTAGTTGAAGTTGGTGATGGTAATCTTCACACGCCAATATGCCCGATAGTTAGCCTTCACATGCCAATGCACTCGGATCGGGCACCTGTGATTTGTGCATTGTAACATTGATGCATCTTCCTTAGCTAAGGCTTTTTGATTCAGCATCCTTGAGTCCTTGGAGTCATTTCTGCATTATGTTCCAGTGTTAGGGAGAGAAGACATTAACATGGAAAAGTTCAATTATTGGATGGGAAAGGTTCATTGCATGACCTTCAATTAAACTTTGCTTCAGTCGAACTGAAAAAATGGTCAGTTGTGTGTACGGGCTACTTACATGCAATTATTGTTCACATCCTTACAACCACAAGCACAAGATGGACAAGGAGTAATCATGGGGTTGTAGAAAGATGACAGAGAGACGCAACATGTTGGATTTTCAGAGACGAGCAATTGCGAGTAAGTGCAATCCAAAGTCCATGTCACTGCCAAAAAAGAAAGCACAAAAATTATACAAGACAACTAGATGGAAGAACTTCAAAGCTAATTGTAGAAACTGTAAGAAAACACAGCATGCCTACTAGATTGCTAGCTGTTAGCAAACTTTAGTGCTTGTAAAAACTGTAATTAAGAAACAGAATGTGGCACCAGGCATATTTCGTTGAAACATGGAAGAAGTAAACTTACTCATTGCTTGAGTCGTTCGGCGACCGTCAGGCGAGAAGGAAACTGAGGGTGGTACAATGGTTGCAGCACTGCAAGTGTAGCCTGGTCCAGGACCAAGCAAATAAAAATTCTTTGGTGGTGTTACTGTTTTATTTGAAGTACCTGAATGGCCAACACTCAGCTGAAATGCTGAGACTGCAGCTGAGGGGTCTTGTCCCCATGATGCCATAACACCACTTTTGCAGCAATCAGAAAATCTTTGGTTCACTGGAACCCCAGGAAGCAAGTCAACAACTGAGGGAGTTTTCTTGCAGCTGTGTGGAATATTTGCTTTGAACTTGGAGCAGTCTCCTTGAGCAGTGGCTTGAGCTCCCACCATTGACCATATCACTTCCTTCTTAGCCCATGTCCAGCCTAAGGTCCATCCGGGGCTCGTGATGTGCCGGTACATTTGGTAGTTGATTATTGTTACTGCTGCCTGGATAATATATGTTATCATGGTAAGTAAGTATGTATTTGAACTGAGCTTTTAGTTGTTGAACGTATTATTAGAATTGATTATCAATAAAAATGAAAATGAAAACAAAGTGATACAAGTTGTGGTGGCACTCACCACATAGCCATCAGGAGTCCAAGACAGAACATCCCATTTGATATTTATCCTTCCATTTGGATCAAACGAATCATAAGCCACTGAAAACCATGAGGGAAGGAGGAATTGGCAAAGTTAGAATAAGCAATGAGGTTTAATTAAGGAACCAAACCATAATCCTAATCCTAAACATAGTTCTAATTATTAATTAGAAGCTCACCTGCATGAGAAACGATTGTCAAGAACATGACAGATACCAAAAATGCGCTTCTTATACATTTACTAATAATCTCCATTGTTCAAGTTTCAGTAAGCAGCTGGGGATTCTTGAGAACTTATGCAGTTCAATTGTCCAAAGGGCCAGTATTTATAAGCAACTAGGCTCCCAAACCAAAAGTATTATCTACCCTCATTCTAAGCTACTTCTTCGACTACGGTTTTCCAGATGTCATGTTCTCAGCTACTTGACTAGGACAAAAGTATTGATCACAATTTCATATATGTGTAATGTTGCGTATGCAGCATGTCACAGATGAACCAAACCAGTTTCCATGTTCAAGTGAAATTGCATAGCTATTTAAAAATTGTTAAAAGGGCATGAATGAACAAATTCAATCACTTTCCCACCAATTTAAAAGCAAGGAAGAGCCCATTTTGCAGCAATCTTGATCATGCCGGCGGGATGGACACAGAATGATAAGGTGATCTCCCAATTTCTGCAGTGATCATAACCAATAAACTTGAGGCTGACTATATATATTCAGATAATAAATAAGTGATAAATGGATATAAGTATAGGAAATATAACCGAGGCAACCAATTTCCTATATGTATTTCAAGAATGAAAAGTCAAGTTCATGGCTTACATCACAAAAATTCACTGTTGGTTTGGCATCTTGCCCTTGTCATTTGTTCTCTCTTTACATGGTAGGATCTGCAGAATGACTGGCTGCAGGAATTAATTAAGCCTGGAGCTGAGATTCTTAGGACCCCAAGACTTTCAATTGTGGGATACAAAAAATGACCATATTTGAGAAACACCACCATAGCTGCCAATGCACCATTTGGAAAACCACTTATCAAGGCCAAAGCATTAGATTGCACAAGTTTCTGGCCAAATGCTGACAGTGACTTGCATAACTTTGGTCCCTTATACTTGCCATTTTAGCTTCCATGTTTCTAAGCCATGTTAAGTGGCGTTTACTTAGAAACATTGATGTCCTTTGCCAAAAAGGCATATGCGTGCCATCAAATTCAAATCTGCAGAAAGG